CACAGCATGATCCTTGGGGTGCAGAATGCTGAGCTTGCCTACCTCATAAAGGCAAACACCCCAAAATGGGAGAGGAAGGAAATGGGTCACCTGGCTCATTTATGGGTATCCAGGGAATCTGTGCCTACACACAGCCTCTCAAACATCCCTACTGCAACAAACTGCACTATCGGAGGAAGAAAACTGTGCTCTTGATCACAGATTTTACGTGTGACTAACATAAAATTACCACTTAAAACATACCCAGATCCCAGCGTCCAGCCCACAGCTAATTTCATGGGGTGGGAAGCAGTGATTGAACCAATCACAATGTATCTGGATCCCCATCACACCCTGGGTATAGACAGATGTCACAGAATCACAGATGGGTTTGGCTTTAACCATGGGGAGCAAAGGGAGCAACGTATCCCTGTGAGAGGAGCCAGGAGCACATCCACACACTGGGGGCAGGCATGTGGCTGCAGCTTTGTAGGCTGACAAGGGGCCTGGAACTCCACTTACTTCACTCTTATCCCACACACACACATCAAGAGGGTACATGAATATAACCAGATCAAGCTTTACTACTGCTGTGTATGCAAGACACTGATTTACACATGGCAGCGGTGGAAATATGTATACAACTTCCAGAACAATTCAAAGACTTCAATTCCACTTGCAAGACTAAAGCTGGGGGGCCAAAAATTAGATCATGGCCTAAAGTTGAACATCCCTCCAGAAAGGGACAGAAAAAGCAGTCCACATGCTTATTTATGTGCTCTTAAGTGAACTCTATCAACAGGTTTGGGGTTCAATAACCCAAAAGCAACTCGCCCATGGTAACTCAAAGCCCCTTGCTCAAGGGAGATCTCCTTGAGGCTGAGAGTTGGGGTCTGACTCTGCACAGATATCCCAAACTGCTCCTTGGGAGACTTACACCAGACTCCTGCTGCTCCAGTACAGCAAGAAAGAGATTTTCCATAGCAAAATGAGGGAGGGGGATTAAACCTAAACCTCTTCCTGCTTAGGGAGAAAGTTTTTGAGCTGTGCATGGAAACTTGCTGTTTGATATTGCTAGCAAGATGCCCAAAATGCAGCATTACTCTCAAGTACATCACAGGATTCCAGACCCTGTGTCGCTCTGCTATGAATTATTCTCTGTAAATAACTACTATGTTTCACCAAAAGGAAAACCTGAAATAAAAAACCGTATTTGCCAAAAGCCATGGAAGGGGAAAAAAGCAACAAATATCCCAAAATTTAGATAGGTAAAATTAACCCAAATAGCAATAGATGAGTAATTAGCAAGCTCTTGTTCTTGCTAGTGCGCTGAACAGGTGATAAGTGAACCAATAAATGCCTGACCTTTTTAAGTCATATTTCTAGCCTAGGAAAGTCATGGCTATTAACTGCTACCAGGGTGCCACGGGATTCATGTTCAGAGGTATCCTTTTCACTTTGTTGTTGTAGCCTCTCATCTTTTACTGACATTACACACCACTCATCATGATCAGTGTCAGAAGCTATAATAGCATCTGCTGCAGTGGCAGCTTCTGCTGGATGAAGAGTCTCCCTCTTTACCTTAAGAAATGTCAATCATTCCCCACGCTCAGCATTCAGACTTGCTCATCGGTAACAAAGCTGAAGCTACACCAAACATCGGCTTAGAATAAACACCAGACTGAGATCACTGGAAATGAGTGACAGCTTATAAACCACGTGCCTGAGAACACATGAAGGAAGGGAACAGTTCCTGTCCTGCGCTGCTTCCAATGTCTCACTGTCATTTGAAATAGCTCCTACCAAAGGGGGACAAAAAACTTGATTTGTGACATGCAGAGACCTTACAGGTAGATTTGGGTAGGGAACCGTACAGGGTCCCCCGATCTCCTTTCTGCTTGTAAGGAGAGGAAGGATCAGAAGTTAAGGAAAATTCATCTCATTTGACTATTAAACACCCAAGTACCCCATTAAGTTTTCCTCCTGGAATAGTTGATATTCATTATTCTCAGCATCACTATCCCCTTAAGAGCTTTATTTGTTTGCTCTCTGTGGAGTGTGCCCAATAGCATCGGTCTGAGATGTGCCTGTATAACTACTATTTGGGTAGGTACAGCTCACCTCACCTCACTGCTGAGGAGTGACAAGCAAGGGACCTGAGGGTGATAAGCCACATGCATATAATAGTTATTTCTAAAAGCAAACCAAGTGGAACAGATCAATACGGGCACAAGAGAAAACAGCATCTGCAGAAGTGAAAAATGGGGCAATCTGTTATTTCAAGGGAAATACAACTTGCCTCTGTGGGATGGTGCCTATTACTCTGCACTAGTGGCAGGCGGTGTGCTCCATCTTGCAGCTTTGCCTGCTGCTCTCATGCCATCACATACTCCTGGACCAGGGGTACCAGTTGGGACTGCCATCCCCTCCAGCTCCTGGGGGACGTAAGCACAGCTCAGCTGCACCAGCATTTACTCCTGCCCAGGGACACGGCCCTGCTGTCACACTGGGTCTCTCTCTTCAGAGAGAAGAGTATGAACATACGAATCACAGCTTGAAAAAGGAAGAAATCTCAGGCAGTTAAGTGAGGAGGAAAACGGAAAGTATTTACATGTTTCTGCCTCTCGTGCCCGAACTTTTCAATCAAAAGCTTACCATTGTTATCAAAGGTTTTCCTTCACCTCTGCTGGGTATCAAGATCTGTTGTCTCACAGGCAAGCCTGGAGAGGGACACGCTTCCTTAAAGCTGTGTTCAATTTACATCCTCTTTTGCTCTGATACAGATTAATCAGGCACTTCCTCAGTGGCTGCCTTCACTTCCCGTTAATTAACATTCCTTATGCCATCCTGAAACACATGTTGATGCCACCTCACACCTCAGCAAGGAGGGTTTTGCTCAGGGCTGGGTGGCAGCCCAGTGGGAGAGGAACCCATCTACTGAGCCTGGAGGACCTGGAGCTTTCAGCACAAAGCTTTCTGCTTGGTGGCATCCAGGACCCAAGTACCCAGCTGAGCCCAAGTGCCCATCAGGGACCTGCCTAATGCAGTCCCACTGCCACGAGGCTCTAACAGCATCTTAGAGCACAGGAGCTGGGCCCAAGGAGATGCCTCTTCCAGGCACACCAGACCTTAGCAGCAACAGCAGGATAAGAGATCATCTTTGCTTGGCTTTGTTTTTAAGAGAGGTGTACTTCATGATAATATTTCCTGTAATAACCATTTATTTCAAAGCTTCCCGAGCTATTCATGTGCTATGCTCAATGCTTCTTTCCCCTTTACTTTTAGCATCAAGCCTGATAAAAATGCTTTGGAGCTCACTGTGAAGTATCATTTCTCTTCAATAATAAAAAGAAAACTGATTTTTTTTTGCCCTTTGTAAGAAAAAAAAGCATAGGCCTCTTTCCAAATAGAGAAGGCAAGAAATCTCTAGAAAGTATTTCTTATAGCATCCTCCACAAGGAAAGCTTATCTCTCATTCCTCTGCAAACACCAGCAGGACCATAGCTTACTAGTGCTGAATCAGCTTCACTGGAGTTCTAGTTCCTTATGCATTCCTCCCAAGAGGGAATAAGATACCTCCAAATACAGAGCAGAGATTTACACCAGGCTCTCAGACAGGCTTAGATGACAATGTTTTTTAATGGGAAAGAAAGGGGATGCTTCTCACTTTCACAAAGATACTACTTCTATTTCAAACAGCAGCTTTTGAGAAAAAATACCAAACTATACCCATAGATCTTTTCATCCTATTTGAAGACTGTTTCACCTTTCACTCATTAAGCACATTAACTACAGTACTTGCACAGGTGAAAAGTGTCAATATTAGCCCCTAACAGAGGTACTTACTTGCTGCATGGGTAGGAAGAGCTGCTCTTTCCCAGCTCTCTCAGCTCAGAAACAGCATGTTGAATTACAGTCACATCTCCCAAACTTGCCTTGACCTTTTTTGCTTCCAGAAACATCCTTACCCATTCCTAGCTCATAGCAGGGGAGGAAGAAGAGGAAAGGTTGAGTGGGGCAGGGCAGGAGGTCAGTAGCTCAGCGGCTCCAGCTGTGCATATTTCTTTGCTCTTCCTACAACAGCTGTTTCTGGATCATTTCTTCACCCCCCTACTCCATTTTCCTTTGAACAGGGCTTCTGGTAGGTATCTTATTGACAGACTGATCACATCCATTGCTTATCCAGTTATGGCAAACTATTTTCCTTCCCTCTCTCAAAAGCCCTAAGGTCTGGGGGAGCAGGAGACAGGGCTAGAAGGACAGCCTCATTTAAAGTTCCCCTCCTCTGCTTGACAAAAGTCAGCCTTGACACAATGGGAAGAACATTAATCCACAAAACGGATCAAGAAAAGCTCCATGTCAAAGCCAGCAGATGCCACGTAACCTACTGCTACCTCTTGGGAATGTCATTCCCAGGAAAACCTAGTGCAGAAAAGGCTCAGGAGTCCACAGACAGAAGCTGATGTCACGCTAAAATGCAATGCTGGGTTTTATTGATAGGGGGATTCAGTGAGTGTTTTCTGCTTTCAACAAAAAGCCCAGCTTTTAAAATGTTCCTGCTTTTGAGTGGCAACTGGACTGGATGTGCTCTGAAGGGCTCTGAATGTCTGACGCAGGGCAGGCTGAAATCTGTGCCATTCATTAAAGTGGAAATCTGTGCAGTTCATTAAAGTGGATGGAAATTCCAAATCACCATTTTTTAGTTGTTGTTTGGAAGGAGGATTTGGACAGGAAGGCTTGCCTCCAGGGCCATGACTCAACCTCAGGGTGCTCAGCCCTTTACATCAGTGATATAGGATTACATTGTCTACTGATCTTCATTGAGCTCTTGAAAAACATATGCAAACACTCCATTTCTCTTACAGAAGTTGCCAAGGATCAAACTAACCCTCAGCAGCTTCTCTATGGAACTCACCTAGTCCCACAGCTGTAGATTGTCCTGGTTTGGGTGCCTGTGGAATGCTTGGTGTTCTCAGCTGAGCTTGCGGCCAGGAGTAAGGAAGTGGTGAAAATCCTTGTTTCCTAAAGGTTAGCACTGTAGTTTTGAGAATGACTGCATGGAGAAGTGCTGCTTTTAGCAAATAAATGGCAAGATTGGGGGTGATACAGACAAGGCTGGCACAGAGCAAGTTGTGTGTTATCACTACCTGTGATTTGTTGCATCTCTTAACTAAGCAATGGAGAGACATGAAAAGCAGTGTTGCTCAAAACAAGGGGTACAGATGAAGATAGTCAAATGTGAGATCACCTTAAAATAAAAAGGGAAGCAAAATCCAAACCAGTGTAGAATGGCAATAGAGTTTATGAACAAAGAAAAGCATAAGTTAGTCAATTCTGTGTTTTCTCCTTTTTGCTTGCCAGTACATCACTTTGCACTTCCGAATGCAGAGTTCTGGGGTAACAAATTGAAGTTTTGCTTTGTGAAAGTTTTCATTGTCTATTTTCTATTTATGTTTTACCAATATTGGAAAGTATAAAATAAGTCTTTTAGGCTATATTAGACAGAAGAACATAGTCACAGCAAAAAAATAACATTGGCAAAATTAGTCATTTTCAGTGAAAGAGATTTCCAGGTCAAGGATTACTTGCTGAAGAAATGCTAGCTGAAGATGCAGCATTATAAATGGTCTTCTCTCAGGCACGTGTACCAGTGGTCAAATAATTAATTTCTTAGCAAGAAATATAATGGTCTATTTTAGCAAAAAGAAAGATTAGATGCACATTAATCAAACATTTCAGAGACGTATAAACATGCATATAGCATCCAGGAGTATCCCATTACCCTCATTCGGAAGATATATGTAATCAATATTTCAAATAGATCTACTTAGTTTCCTATCATTGACATTTAAGTATTCCCCCCATATGTAAAATAGGCAGGGCTTTCAAAGGCAGCATCAGTAATGTTCTGAAGTGCTGCTTGACCAAATAGAGCCAGGTTTTCTGTGCTCTTCAAGCCAACCAGGCCAAAGATGAAACCAATGTGATCTCCCACCAAAAGGTAGAAGACAGTAAGACGAACTAACTTATTATCAGAGCTCTGTTTGAAGAGCATTGACTTGAAATAGCATTAATTATTCACCTTTTTGTGGCTGAGGAGAACTTCTAAAGCACTGGTTTTCCCCTTCCCCAGCAGCTCACCCTTGAAAAAGGTTAAAATCTATTTGGTGGAAACCAGTCTATTAGAGGCAATGATTTGTGCTGTGCTTGGAAACAGCAAGAGGCATTTGCAAACATCAGTCTTTTCACTCTGTTTGCATCAAGTAAATATGTTTTCATTTGATACCCATTTGCTTGTTTCCAAAAGAGCTCTAGGGAAAAGGAGAGCTCATGGCAACGTTTACCTGGTGCTCTGAGAGCTGCCTCCTGTTATCCCATCCTTCTTGCAGGAGGAGGACTGGTTTAAGGTAGAAGATGAGCTCATCTCTGGATATCAATGAATGCAACCCCAGTGGTCTCTGAGCTTCAGGATGTATTATATTCCTTTCATACAAAGCCATAGGCTGAAACTCAAATATTCATTATTTTTGCAAAACTTCACATCAAATGGTGCATCTTTCAAGAGCAGCACTGGAAGTGGTATGTAAGGGAAAAAAATGTGCTTTCAAAACCAGTCCCTTCTAACCATTTCTAATAGCCACCAGTTGCAAGTGTAAAGAAGATATCCTAGTATGAAGCTGTCTCACCAGGGTCAGAGTGCTTTCACTTATTTATTTATTAGGATATATGAAAACAGGGTTTGCACAGCTGTCACAAAAAAGAAGCGTGTGAAGAAATCCAGACATCCTTCCATTAATTCCATGCATTCCCTCAGGCTTACACAACCTGTACCTCAACGCCTTTAATATGGTGGCTCTGTGTCAAGGAGCACATTTCTGAGCTCAGTCTCTGGGCTTATTTGTAGAAGGATGGAAGCTGGCTTCAGCCCAGCCTTGGCAGGGGGGTGACTTCATGCAGCCGTAGAAGGGATGAGTCACCTAATTTCCTTGAAGCAAATGTAGATTCCTCCTGACAGCACTTGGACGTTTCTGAGCCCAGAGTTTACCAATGGACAGCTTGTGTTTGCATAGAAACAGAAAAACAGAGGAGCAACTACTCTGGAAGTGGTGAAATTGTTCTAAGGCCTGGAGAGAAAGGGGTGCTCTGGAGGGACTCTTCATCAGGGACTGTAGCTATAGGACAAGGGGTGATGGGTTCACACTGAAACAGGGGAAGTTCAGTTTAGATCTAAGGCAGAAGCTCTTCCCTGTGAGGGTGCAGAGGCGCTGGCACAGGGTGCCCAGAGAAGCTGTGGCTGCCCCATCCCTGGCAGTGTTCAAGGCCAGGTTGGACACAGGGGCTTGGAGCAACCTGCTCAAGTGGAAGGTGTCCTTGCCCATGGTAGGGGTTGGAACTGGACGATCTTAAGGTCATTTCCAACCATTCTATGATTCTAAGCTTGTGTGACAACCTTTGCACATACAGAGAGGACAGGCAGGAAAAGCTTCTTTCAGTCCAGTTGCTTCTCTTGGATGCCCTCAGTAACAAAACCACCCAAATGAGAGGCAGTGGGCTGCTTACCTGACTTGTTTGTGTGGAACAGGCAATCTTTTGGGATCAAAAGAATTCTTTGGCCCCTTGCAGATGCAGGCAGTCAATGGACGCTGCGTTTTGCCTCTGGATGATCTTCACCCCACACATTAGCTCTGAAAGGGCCAATAAACAAGGGAGAATAAGCTGAGACTTTTCAGTTGCTAAGGCAATGAATTAATCAGCATGTATGTGTTCAGCATATTCACATGATCCTGCCAAGGCCTACAGTTTTAGGTCTCCTGCTATATTTTTGCCAGCATGAGAGAAGGGAGCAGAGGAATTGGCAGAGAACAAAGTGTCAGTGGTTAGTGCTGTAATAAAAATCCTGGAAGGAGAAAGCAGCACCTACTGCATGCACCACATTCATGGATGATATGGTGTTACAGCATGCCAGCAAAACATGGCTCTTTGCCACCGTTCTTTGTAAGGGCTTCATTTAGCCTAATTATTGGGTATAAAATCCTCTTGTCCAGAAAGAGACGATTTCCCCTCCCAGAGGTGTGAATCCAGCCTTAAACTGCATTCAGCGCATTTGATCAGATTGACAGAGCCTGAACCAACTCCGCAGCTGACAAGACATTGCTTCACTTAAATCACTGCATTTCCATCCACCTCAGGGTTCTTTAACACCTTCTTGGAGTAAGATGCGAACCAGCCAAGCAGCACCGACACCAAACCCAACAGCACCACTGCATGCTTTAGAGGGCTGAGGCTAGGTGCAGCAGAGCTGATGTGCTTAGGTGAACCCTTGGGCTGTAACCGTTTTTGATGCTGATCAGGCAGTCCCACTTAATGGCTGTAAATTCAATACTGGGTTTTGGGGTTTAGTTCAGCATCCATTCCCACTTACCCACTTAAACACTAGAGACAGGCTCTTTCTTATAGTCCTCTATGCCATGTCTGCAGTAAGTCCCTGCGCTTTCCTTAGGACCACAGTCTCAGGAACACTTAATGGACAGCAGTTTGCACTGTTCCCTTCCTAAGCCATCGTGCTTCCTCTTCTTTGCTCCTCCTCTCTCTCATGTATAGACACATCACTGTGCAGAGGCACCCATCAAAACCCTTAGTACATACTGCTGGGTGCTTTTACACAGGCAGCTGCTGCATTGGCTATTGGCACATCTGGAGCTGTGAGCCTGGTTTTTACCCCAGTTGCAGCCTGGCTTTGTGTGAATTTAAATCTCCTTATCAATAAAGTGAAGGTAATGCCACTCCAGCACACTGCACACTGCAGGAGAATGAAGTGGATAAAGTGTCTGAGATGTCAGACAAAACATATATAAACCCAAAACATCCTTATAGAAAGCTCTGATAGCTGAGTGTCAGAAAACCAACGGGGAGAAAGGTATTACAGACCTAGCAGAGAGACCGGGTCTGATCCTGAACACCAGTGCTTATGGAAAATCCATTTAATCCCAGAGGAGAGCCCTGGGAGGGAGGTGCTCCCCAGGTTGATCCTGCTCACCCCTGCATTACCCACTTGAGAAGACCATGTGCCTGGGGGATGTGATTAAAAACTAATTGCAGTTTATTTGCCAGTCCCCATAATAATAAATTTTTATTATATTATTAGCCATATTTATTATATTATTTAAATAGATAACAATAAATATTTATTAATTACTAGCCAGACCCCATAGCATGCAGGCCTGGTCTGCACCCACAGCCATTCTTAGCATTCACGGTCACACCAAAGATGCTCCATGGCCAGCCCCGCACACCTCCATCCGCAGCAGTGATGGGATGCACAGCCACAGCTCTGCTGCCCTCCCTTTGCTCGCCTTCAGTTCATACAGCCCTCCCACTGCTCACACCCTGGCTGCAAGAGCACGGGGACAGGGACAAGGGTGTTAATTTAAACCTGAAAGACGTTCAGCTTTAGCAGGTTGAAGCAAAGGAACAGCAGGGCTGTGCCTGACACATAGCTGAAGCTGTAGCTCTCTCTACAGGCTTCACGTACAGTAGCTGTGCAGTCACAGCCAGACCAGCATCACCACAAAGCATGCCCTGCAGGGTTGGTTACGAGTGTCTGCTGGGTGCATGAGCTCCATGCCAGGCCTGTGGAGGATGTGACCATCCTATGGGGAAAGTGGGCGAGCATGAGTGGGGTTGCCCATCGCAGAAGACCTCATCCTTGCTGCAGCCCTGCTTAAGGTACCATTGAGCTCAGACTTGGCCAGCATCACAGCACAAGCACCAGGGAGCTCCAAGCTGAGGGGCTTGAGCACATTCCTAAGTCCCAAGCACATACATGTGCTCGTGCCTGTACATGGTTCAGGGCCACTATTCCCAGGGCATGGAGCTGCACAGGAGCTCTGCATCCTCCAGATGTCCATGGCTGCATCTGGAATGATGCAGCCTTTTGATTGTAATAACCATTTTGATTCCCTTTTCCTAATAATTTCTTGATAACAACACAATTGGATCATTCCTTAAGGTCATTTCACATAGATTTATTTGCAACATTACCTGCATATTTGGACTTAGGGGGAACAAATATTTTATTTCCTTGGGTTTTATTGCCCCATTATTTATACATTTCTCTTTAAATCCTGTAAACACTTCTTTTTTTTTCCCCATTTCCCTGCAGAGTTTCTCTTTCTCTTTGGCAAACATTGATTTTTTTTTTTTCTTTTTCATGTTTTTTCCAGTGAACCTTGAAATTAAAATGTCCCTTTTTTTTTGATGTTTAATTTCGGGGTTTTTTTGTGCACCGGCCTCATTGTCAGCACAGCAAGAGCAAGGTGCTTTGTTAGATTACTGATGCTTCAAAGCTACTGAAAGGAAGAGTTGACCACATTTTGGCACGCGCGCTTAGCTCCTTCATGAGCTGCAATCCTCTTTAAAACACAAACCCAATCCAGAGTTCTCAGCATTTTACGGAAGCATTTTGGTTTTTTTAGTATTTCAGAATCGATTTTCACCAAATTATCCCATTTTTAAGAAGTGTGGAATTCTTTGTCCTCTTAGTGGACAAATCACATGTACAGAATCAGCTCTTTACAGCACCAGCAAGGTTTGCAGCAGGGAGAATAGCTTTTATTAAACCAGCTGATATAGCTGGGGAAAAAGGAAAAGCTTTCAGACAGCCCTAAAAGCATTTGGGGTGTTTTTTCCTTCCAACTGTATCAATTGTTCTAATAAGAAGTACCAGCTGCCCCTGCAAACCTTGCCTCTCTCCTACCCTTCTACCGTCAGCTACAGTAACACTACCGCCAGCAGAAAAATCACTGCATTTGTATAGCAAAGAAACCATATTGCTGTTTTTCCAAGGGTTTTTCATCAGAACTACTGCCTGTTCCCCTTCCTGCAGCACAGACCTTGTTTCTTAGGAGTATTTTTAGGAAAGAATCTTTTTTATGACAATTACTTTGTCACTGTCATTTTATCTGCTGTAGCAGAAGAATTCTCTCCTGCACACTCTTGACTAACAATGCTTTTGCCTTTTGCTAAGTAGCCAGGGCACTACAGGTGATGAAATCAAAGCTTAAATGATAGTAGGGTAAAGTGTTTGGACCCAGGAACATGGGTGTGTTTGTATGCTTGGTGGGCCTGATGTGGCATCAGAAAGTTAAGGAAACCTTCCAAACACTCAACTAAAATGAGATCCTTGCTTTAGCAAGGGTTTGCTTCAGCTTTGTGGCCTAGGGTTATACATTATGCTAAGCAAGTGTGACTGTTCAGAGGCTAAAGAGCAGGCAGTGTTTAAAACAGCAGGAGTCACTTTTTCATAAAAAAAGGGTTGGGGAAGTCTTTAAAAATGGATTGTTCTAGGCCATAAGAAACTATGAACTGCAAAAGTTTAATAGATGAAATGATACTCGTCTACTGCCACCCTTGTAATAACAATCGTTGCTGAATCCATTATTCAGGGGTCTTGCTATATTGACAATTCCATTTCCTCAAAAAGACTTCAGTTATTTCCCCCGTCTGTTTAACTTATGGTAATTAATTATAGATTTACAAGTGGTACACAGCCAGAGGTACCTGCAACCACTGTGCCGCTGGTGAGAGGGAAAAGTGCCTGTCTGCAGCCCCAAGTATGAGCAGGAAAAGTCATGCCATGAACTGACTCAGGGTCCACGTCAGAGTGCAGGTGATGGTAACCAACCTCATTGCACAACTGGCATTCAAGGAAGGGCAACCTTGCCTCCAGGTTGCTGCACTTAGGTCCAAATCTGGTTCTTGCGGAGCCTCTGACCTGCAAATCTGATCTATTTACCTCGAAACTGTGTTTCTTATTCAATGAATAGCAGTGAACAGACAAGATTTTAAGTATAGTAACAAACATTCAAGCATCCATGTGCCAGAGATACCCTCCGTGTGATAAAAAAAAGACTTCTTTGTGACTTATTCCCCCCCCCAAAAGGTATTATGCTAAAAGAGAGCTGGTTTGTTTGTTTGCTTGTTTCACAAGCATCAGTTCCCCAACAGGAAGACAAATGGAATCAGTGATATTACGGTTCTGCAAAAAGGACTCATCTTGCACTGCCTACGTCAGCAGCTTCTGTGAGCAGAATGAAGGGCTGCACAGTCACTCCTATCCACGCCTGCCACAGCTGGTACCCAAAAAGGCACAGACGTGCTAAGAAGGGGCTGTTATGTTGCTTTAATTACAATTTATTCCTTTTTTTAACAGTACAAACTTATCAGCTCTAACAAAAGATATTTAAGAAACAAACCTTGTCAAAATAACATGAATTAAGAGCATTCACCCTTTTGTAGAGTGTGAAGAAGAAGTGTGTAATGTGATAATGAATTCTGTAATGCATTAGCCACGCTTAAAACGTGAGTACCACTTCCTCCATAACTTGCTGGAGTTTTGTCATTCTCGTTGAATCCCCAGTTTGATTGCCATTTGAGCAATTCGGCTATTATCCTGCCAAATGCAGGATGTTTTCTCTGTGCAGAAGCCTGTTAAAGCTGCATGAAATCCATATGAAACCCACAGGTGTGCTACCATAGGGCTTTGCTCTATTACTTGGCACAGCCTTGTGCTGGAGAAGGTGTGGAGCACCTTCTGCTCACCAGGATCCTGCTATGGCTTGGGCTGTCCCTGTGCATTGTAAGTCCTGTCCCAGGAGCTGGGGTTAAATCAGTTTGTGCTCCCAAGTCAGCACCAGCTGGGACTCCCTGAGAGCTCACCAAAGGCCGTGATGTGGGCTTTGCTCCCAATGACCCGTTATGGTCTGCATTCCCAAGCCGTTGCTTGCTTTCCACATATCAGACACCTTCCACAGTGCCAGAAAATTCAGTCCAGGCAGCAATATTACCAAATCCACCCATACACACATTGATAGTTGGACCCAGCTTCCTCCTTGCCCTTTATGATCTGGGCACCAGCTCAATCCCAGCATCCCTCTAGAAGTTCAACCTTGCAGCTCATTGCCTTTGTTTTC